CTCCTGCTGGGCCCGGCCTCTCCTTTCTCAACTTAGGGCGGCGGCGGGCCCGCGCCCGTGGCTCCCGGGCCATGGCGCTGAGGGAGCTCAAAGTGTGTCTGCTCGGGGTGAGTGGCGGTGGGTCTGGCCGGGAGGGCCACGGGAGGCTGGGCTGGCGGGGACCCCGGATCCCCCATGTCCCCTCATTCTTTCCCCCATCCCCCGTCCAAGACGTTGTCTGCCAGCCCCGTGGACCCTCCCTCCAGGTCAGGAGCTGTCCCGCCCACCTCTTGCACCCTCCAGAAGGTCCTGGAGGCCGGAGGGACCCTTCCCCTTCCCCTTCCCCTTCCCCTTCCCCTCCCTGGAGCCCGTGGACTCTTCCCGCCCCTTAAAGAGCAAACAGCCCCGCCTTGCCTCTCCATTGCATCTGGGTTAGGAGAGGCTTTTAAATAGTTTTCTCCCAACTTACCAAGGTATTAGTTGAGAGGGAGTTGGCCGAGTCTTCTCAAGCAAAACCCATAACAGGTCTTTAGGTTTTACAAGCAGCATTAGCCTACTTTGTCTCTTGAGGGTGTTTTTGAACTTGTGGGATACCCCTGCCTCTTCTCCAAAGAGTTACTTTGCCAAGTAACTCTTCCCGTGGAGAAAGGGGGTGTTCAAATCAGGAAGCCCCAAAGACTAGTTTGAAGCTTCAGCTTCCTGTCTTGTCAGGAAGGACAAGGTTGGCCATTTCAAAGCCTTCTTTCTGAAATTGATGCTGTCATTCCAGTTTCTGCCTTAAAAGATAGACAGGAACTCCATTAACTAATCTTTATTCCCCCAAAATAGGGTGGGGCTAGGATTCTTCAGGGATTACTCAGAGGTAACCCAGGAGTTCAAAGTTTACTAACATATGTTAGAAAGCAAGTGGACTTGTTACTTTTTACACGAAGCAGAAACTTTGGGTCTTTCAAAAGGTCCTAATCTGTCTTAAAAACTGCAAAAACCTCACTCTTTTAGCACATTTGGAATTTCCTAATTACTCCACTGAATTTTTATGACAATCGCTTTTGTGTTCCTCAGTTTATAAAATTTACACATCTAGGGTGATTTTTCTAAAATCCTGAACTTACGCCACAAAGTAGTTTTTGGTGTCTGCCAAAAGGTAAACTTTTTCTCAGTCACACGTCTCATTCTCTTTCAGGATACAGGTGTAGGTAAATCGAGTATTGTGTGGCGGTTTGTGGAAGACAGTTTTGATCCAAACATCAACCCAACAATAGGGTAAGAGATTTTTATTTGATACACATCTAAAGGTGCATTGAAAATCCTTCCAAATACGTAGTGTGTTACAGGTGTAGGCCCTGTACTTTATATTCATTGAATTCTGAGTCGCTGGTTCACATCATCTCTGGAAGACTTGAAGGAGTACAGTGAGGATCTGTGTATTTTAGGAAAATTATCTTCAGACTTGTTGGGAGTGAAAACTTAAAAATGCAAATATGAATTGGAGTTCTGCTAATTATTAGAATAGACACAGAAACTTCAATCTATAAATATCAGCAACAATTACACCTTGAAATAAGGCAGATGAAAATAGATCCTGGTGCTATTCTTTCAGGCATATCAAGTAAAAGACATTTAGATGCTTTTTGTCCTTCCTGAAAGTAGTAGGCTGAGATCTGAACGCTTACACATGCCTGTACTGGTAGTAATAAGAAATTAATAAATTCGTATTGAAATGGAAGGTTTTTTCAGTTCTCTGGTTCTATGGACAAGTAAAGTTGATTGTTCATATGTTTTTGACTCTATAAGAAAACTTTTCATTTTGCAATACTAATCCTTTGACTACATAAGAAGTTGTGTTTTATAGGCTTTAATACTATGTTAGCTTTATAAAACTAAATAGGTGCTATGCTGTAGTTTTATCATCAAACCCTCAAATGCCTTCCAGCATTTAAAGAAAAAATCAATGTTATCCATCGCTAGGATAATATTGGCCTTTGTGCTCTATGCAGATCATTCTTTGACTAATAGAGATATATTTTACAGCCCAGGAGAGAAACTGCCATAAGTTTGTACCCTGAGAAATTATGAGCTCCTGTTATCAGAGGTTATTTATTATTTATTTATTTATTATTTATTTATTTATTTTTTGAGACAGAGTTTCACTCTTTTTGCCCAGGCTGCAGTGCAGTGGCGCAATCTCGGCTCACTGCAACCTCCGCCTCCCGGGTTCAAGCAATTCTCCTGCCTCAGCCTGAGTAGCTGGAATTATGGGTGTCCACCACCGTGCCCAGCTAATTTTGTATTTCTAGTAGAGACAAGGTCTCACCATGTTGGCCATGCTGGTCTCAAACTCCTGACCTCAGGCGATCCGCCAACCTCAACCTCCCAAAGTTCTGGGGTTACAGGCATGAGCTGCCACGCCTGGCCTATGTGTTCAATATTTTTTATCTACTTTTTTTTTTTCACCCAGGCTGGAGTGCAGTGGCACAGTCATGGCTCACGGCAGCCTCAACCTCCTGGGCTCAAGCCATCCTCCAACCTCAGGTAGCTGAGATCACAGATGCACACTACCACACCTGGCTAATTTTTTGTACTTTTAGTAGAAAAGGAGTTGCACCATGTTACCCAGGCTGGTCTTGAACTCCTGGGCTCAAGTGATCCACCCACCTCAGTCTCCCAAAGTGCTGGAATTACAAGTATGAGCCACCGCACCCAGCCTATCTGCTTTTTTTTTTTTTTTTTTTTTTTGAGACGGAGTCACCCAGGCTGGAGTGCAGTGGGGGATCTTGGCTCACTGCAAGCTCCGCCTCCCAGGTTCACGCCATTGTCCTGCCTCAGCCTCCCAAGTAACGGGGACTACAGGCGCCCGCCACTACGCCCAGCTAATTTTTTTGTATTTTTAGTAGAGACAGGTTTTCATGTGTTAGCCGGGATGGTCTTGATCTCCTGACCTCGTGATCCGCCCGCTTCTGCCTCCCAAAGTGCTGGTGTTACAGGCGTGAGCCACCGCGCCCTGCTACCTCTCTGCTTTTTTAAACCCTGTGGGGTTTACACATTTGAAGGCATGGGGATGAAATTCACCAATAAGTTTCTGCAATTAAAATGCTTTTCCATATCCTTTAAGAAAGAGCTGGGTATGACACATGTAAAACGTGACCCCATCCATCTCAGGGCTTTCCTGTCCCTACCTGCATGGGAGAGTGAAGTGTTGTGAAGTGACAGCAAGTACTGCTGGTGATTCAGCGAGTGACACACTTCACACTGAGTCAGAGCTGAAAACTCAAAACCTACAAGACACCCAGACACCACCTTGGCTAGAAGTGCTCTCTCAAATAAGAGAGAAAAGTGAAGGGTGTAGCTTCATGCCTCTTGGTGAGGCCTGTGGCCCCTTCCTAAGTGTCCACTGTTCCCTTGTTTTGCCAGTGGCTCCCAATCTACCAGATGCCTGTGGCTGCTGAGCTGCCTCTAGTCCACTCTCCACACCAGGAGATTTGGCTCACATTTTTACAGGGAAAACAACATACAAGGCTTTCTTCTCATTTTCTTTTTTCTGCCTTTCTTTATTTCGTTTTTCTCAGCTTTAGAAGGTGGCTTCCTCCTTTGTGACCAACCCCAAACATACCCCTGAGCTCTGGATCCCCACCTCTTCATAAGTTACCCTGTTTCTTCCTCAGCCCTATCATCTTGTCATAGCCTGCACACAGGTTCCGAGTCCACCCCACTCCACCACAAGAGCACCCCTCAGACGGTGGAACTCCCGAAAGAAGTTACCACTTCCTCAGCTGCTGCTCACTCCTCAGCCCTCCGTCATCTCAGCGCCACCCACCATGCCACTAAAACCGTCTTCCCCTGGTGCCAGTTTCCATCTAATAGCCAAAGTCAAATGGCCTTTTCTTGGTAGTTTTCTTTATTCATAGAGTGCCTGCTGTATGCCAGGTGCTAGACTGGGTGCTGGTGCCTAGACCTGGGGTGGGCAAACTGGGGCCTTTTCGCCCACCTCCTGTTTTTGTAAATAGTTACTGAAACAGTCACACCCAATTATTTAATTATTGTCTTGCTGTTTTTGGGCTACAATGACCAACTTGATTAATTGCAACTAAGACTTGATGGCCCACAAACCCAAAAATATTTGCTGTCTGGTACTTTTCAGAGCAAGTTTGCTGACCCCTGATTTAGACAAAATGGGCTTCTGTCCTCGTAGACCTTACCTACAAGGAGGAGCTACATTATGACTAGTGTACAGGAAATGATTTATTCTTTTTCTTTTTTTTCTTTGAGACAGAGTCTCTCTCTATCGCCCAGGCTAGATTGTAGTGACACGATCTCGGCTCACTGCAACCTCTGCCTCCCATGTTCAAGCAATTCTCCTGCCTTAGCCTCCCATGTAGTTGGGATTATAGGTGCGCATTTGGGAATCCGCCCACCACAATGCCGAGCTAATTTTTGTATTTTTAGTAGAGACAGGGTTTTACCATGTTGACCAGACTGGTCTCAAACACCTGACCTCAGGTAATCTGCCTGCCTTAGCCTCCCAAAATGCCGGGATTACAGGTGTGAGCCACTGCGCCTGGCCAGAAATGATTTATTCAGCCTTTTTCTGTGTTACAAAGGAGAAACGTGCAGTACTCTGAAAATGTGACGGGGACCTGACCTGGGCCTGTGGGGATAACTGTTTCCTACAGTGATGAGTGGAGGTGTGAAGCACCTAGCAGCACTGGCATTTAAATACTGAAAGATGAATGGATTAGACTTTCAATTCTAAGTTTAAGAATAAAAGTTGGCTGGGTGCGGTGGCTCACACCTGTAATCCCAGCACTTTGGGAGGCCAAGACTGGAGGATCACATGAGGTCAGGAGGTCAGGAGTTCGAGACCAGCCTGGCCAACATAGTGAAACCCCGTGTCTGCTAAAAATGCAAAAATTAGCCAGACGTGATGGCGCATGCCTGTGATGCCAGCTACTTGGCAGGCTGAGGCAGGAGAATCACTTGAACCGAGGAATTAAGAGGTTGTAGTGAGCCGAGATCGCACCACTGCACTCCAGCCTGGGTGACAGAGCAAGACTCCATCTCAAAAAAAAAAAAAAAAAAAAAAAAAAAAAAAAAAAAGTTTTTGAAGAGTGGAAGTGAACTAGGTGGTGGTGGTGAGGGATGGTGGGTAGAAAAGAGCTGGAATGGGCATGAGGAACAGCAGGGACCGTGAGGCAGGAGGGCAAGGGAGGTTGGAAGAGGGGTCAAGAGGCTGGGGTGGCTGGAGGACCCACAGCAAGAACCAGGAGAGATAGTAGGGAGGTTGGTGAGCCAGCAGGGACCAGTCCACAGGGCCCTGGAGACCAGGGGAGGAGCCAAATCACTTACTGCAGGACACATCCCCACTTCTCAGATTGAAGCTCCTCTGTCTTCTCTAGTTCCCTTCCTGCTTCGTAATCGTGCTTCCTCACTGCAGTCTCCTGGTCTCTCGTACTGATTTGATAAATGCTGGTCTTCCCCAAGCTGTGTCCTGACTTCCCATGTTTCTCACCTCCCTCCGTCACCTCACCTTCACCTGTGTCATGTGACCTCCAACCCATGCCTCCAACTCATGATTTGGACCTAGTCTCCTACAGAACTCGGTCTTTGTTCCTCCTTCAGTCCTGCATACCTCACGTGGTATCTGTGTTCTTCCCTAAGAGCTCACCTGTGTCATATCATGTAGGAGAGCATGGGCCTTGAAGAACCATGCTCCCTAGACTTAGGGCCTTGACTGTGTGCGAGCAGGGAGAATATCCGCACAAGTGACAGAGCCACTCTTTCGGAGGTAGGGGGGTCATAGTCTTGCCTGCTTTATGGGGGTTTTAGGAGAATTCCGTGACTCCATACACAGAGTGGGCTTAGGAAGGGTGCAGTAAATGGTGGTGGTGTGTAGGGGTACTGTCAACATATGTCTCTTCACCCCACCCCCAGCCCAATCCCCAAACCCCATTCGTATCCATTTAAGAAAGGGCCCTCTGGGACCCCCTCCTGAAGGAGAGCTTGGGCCCTCCTTCCCATCCTCACATCTAAGCCCTCATCCTATCTTGCCAGGGCTATTCAGCTGATTTCAGAACCAGTTGCTCTGTGGCCTAGCTCTGCCACTTGGAGTCAGTTCTCCTCATTGTTGCTGTGTGAGCTTCATTGAAGACAAGGTTGATCCCCTCAGTCAAAACCATGGCAGAGGAACCCTTTCCTAGCCTGGGCCCAGCCTCATCTCTCCTGTGCTTTGTCCATGTTTTTGTTGCTCACTTCCTCCCCAGCACACA